CTCTCTCCTCTCTCTCCTCTCTCTCTCTCTCTCTCTCTCTCTTCTCTCTCTCTCTCTCTCTCCTCTCTCTCTCTCTCTCCTCTCTCTCTCCTCTCTCTCTCTCTCTCTCTCTCCTCTCTCTCTCTCCTTTCTTTCTTTCTCCTCTCTCCTCTCCTCTCTCTTTCCTTTCTTTCCCTCTCTCTCCTCTTTCTCTCTCCTCTCTCTCTCTCTTCTTCCCCTCTCTCCTCTTTCCCCTCTCTCCTCTTTTCTCCCCCTCTCTCCTCTTTCCCCCCCTCTCCTTCTCCCCCCTCTCTCCTTCTCCCCCATCTCTCTCTTTCTCCCCCATCTCTCTTTCTCCCCCATCTCTCTTTCTCCCTCTCTCCCCCTCTCTCTCTTTCTCCCCCCCTCTCTTCTCTTTCTCCCCCCTCCACTCTCTTTTCCCCCCCTCTCTTTCTCCCCCCTCTCTCTTTCTCCCCCCTCTCTCTTTCTCCCCCCCTCTCTCTTTCTCCCCCCTCTCTCTTTCTCCCCCCCCTCTCTCTTTCTCCCCCCTCTCTCTTTCTCTCCCCCATCTCTCTCTCTCTCTCTCTCTCTCTCTCCTCTCTCTCCTCTTTCCTCTCTCTCTCCTCTTTCCTCCCTCTCCTCTCCCTCTCTCTCTCCCCCCCCCCCTCTCTCTCACTCTCCTCTCTTTCCGCTCTCACTCTCCTCTCTTTCCTCTCTCTCTCCTCTCTCCTCTTTCTCTCTCTCCAGCAGCATGGTAAGGGCCATTTTTTCCCATTGATCCCCAATTCTTTGGTTTTGATAGGAATTCCCAGAGACCTGGAAATCAGGGGTTCTTCTGGGGTAAAAGGTTTGAGAAGCCTGATGTGGAGTGTCTGGACTTCTCCTCTTTTTGTGGTCTTCTACATTAGCTTCTCAAAATTCAAAAACATTCCGGGAGATTGAATAGCTTCCAGCCAAAGTTAGGGCTTAGACTTCATTTTCCTTGGTGTGTTCCTCACTGTGGTGGCAGATTGGATTGTCAGCTCCTTTGGGGAGAGGGGATGGACGCAGTTTGTTCCGTGTTCTCTTTACAGACTTGAGAAGAAAGGTGTATCAGTCCGATAAAAAAACCGTTACTAATATTCTCCCATCATCATCCCAGGCCTGGAAGTTTTGATGCGAGCTCCCATTAGGGCCCGCCTTTACGTTGAATTTCCTCTGAATTTATTTTGCCGATGGTTCTGGGAACTCGAGCATCTGCTTTAGCTTTCTGTCCAGCGTTTCGGCCCATCTGCGCTCCTGACACCTGACTGACGCGCGGTATCCGGGGCCAGGTAGGCAGCAGGCGGGAGCGTGAGCTGTAGAGGGCCCCGGCTCTCCTGAGCGGTAAGCGGAGAATAATTAGCTGCGCTTTAATTATTAATGGGCAGTGATAAACCGCGGTGGTGGGAGAGAGAGGTTACAGTGCTGAGCAGAGATTATAGAGGCATCCTCCCCTGTGGCCGCACGTGGCACAGACTGCAAAATGGCAGGATGGTCCAGGAATATAGATCAGCCCAAAATGCATCACCCACACACCGCCGCCCTACGCACGGCAATACGCAAACCAAGTTCTCTTCTTATGGAAGACCGGGGGATTTCATTTGTAAAGAGCAGCCAAACTACTAAATGTAAATAAGTTGTCATTTATTTTCTGCAGCTAAATATGTAGTCCGGACAACCTAATGGTGGCCATACATGGAATGGTATTCTACCCGGGTCCTGGGAATGTCATTGTGTGCAGGATCTGCATACTGTACGGGCTCCTGCATGCTGTACTGACCTTGCCTGCTTTATGGCTCCTGCACGCTGTTATGTACTGACCTTGCCCGCTTTATGGCTCCTGCACACTGTACTGACCTTGCCCGCTTTATGGCTCCTGCACGCTGTGCTGACCTTGCCCGCTTTATGGCTCCTGCACACTGTACTGACCTTGCCCGCTTTATGGCTCCTGCACGCTGTGCTGACCTTGCCTGCTTTATGGCTCCTGCACGCTGTACTGACCTTGCCTGCTTTATGGCTCCTGCACGCTGTACTGACCTTGCCCGCTTTATGGCTCCTGCACACTGTACTGACCTTGCCTGCTTTATGGCTCCTACACACCTGCTTTATGGCTCCTGCACGCTGTGCTGACCTTGCCTGCTTTATGGCTCCTGCACGCTGTACTGACCTTGCCTGCTTTATGGCTCCTGCACGCTGTACTGACCTTGCCTGCTTTATGGCTCCTACACACACTGCTTTATGGCTCCTGCACGCTGTGCTGACCTTGCCTGCTTTATGGCTCCTGCACGCTGTGCTGACCTTGCCTGCTTTATGGCTCCTGCACGCTGTGCTGACCTTGCCCGCTTTATGGCTCCTGCACGCTGTACTGACCTTGGCCGCTTTCTGGCTCCTGCACGCTGTACTGACCTTGCCTGCTTTATGGCTCCTGCACGCTGTGCTGACCTTGCCTGCTTTATGGCTCCTGCACGCCTGCTTTATGGCTCCTGCACGCTGTGCTGACCTTGCCTGCTTTATGGCTCCTGCACGCCTGCTTTATGGCTCCTGCACGCTGTGCTGACCTTGCCTGCTTTATGGCTCCTGCACGCTGTACGACTCCTGCACATTGTACTGTTTCTGCACGCTGTATGACTCCTGCATGCTGTACTACTTCTGAACATTGTATGGCTCCTTCACACTGTACAGCTCCTGCACTTTGTATGGCTTCTGTATGGCTCCTGCGCACTGTATGGCTCCTGCTGACTGTAATGCTTCTGCTGGCTGTACGGCTCCTGCGCGCTGTAATGCTCCTCCACGCTGTACATCTTCTGAACGGCTCTGCAGGCTGAACTTCTGCTGCTCTCCTGCACGCTGTATGGTTTCTGCAGGCTGTGTGTCTCCTGTACACTGTGCGGCTCCTGCACGCTGTGCGGCTCCTGCTGGCTGTGTGGTTCCTGCACACTCTATGTCTCCTGCACGCTGTATGGTTTCTGCAGGCTGTATGACCCTTGCACGGCCATGCCCTACTTCTAATTACCATTTTACTGGAAAGTAGAAAAACTTCTCTTAGTCCCCAGCTACAGGACGTCACTCACCCTGACCTGTGTGGACGGCAGGAAAGAACAGTATACGTGTTCACCGTCCACTTTCATGCTTTATCCCACTTCTTTATTGGATGGGAATTCCTCATTTTAATTTTTTACAAAGACGATCTTTAATAGAGCGCTGGAAACTGTACGGCACTCGGCAGAACGCGCGCTCTATTCTGTCCCCGCAGATTAATAAAGACGGTTTCCTGGTTTCCGGTAATCCTTCTGATGTGGATGTGATTGATATACAGATATTTTTATATATATATATATATATATATATATACATACACAAACACAATTTTATTTATTTTTTTAATGTACAGAACTCCAGGTTGTCCTATTGCATTCAAAGTTTTTATTATATAATATAATATATATATATATATATATTATATTATTAATTATTAAAATATATGTATATATAATATTATTTTTACATATACTCTGTGTGTGTGTGTGTGTGTGTGTGTATGTATACAGTATATATGTATATATGTGTGTGTGTGTGTGTGTATATATATATATATATGTGTGTGTGTGTGTGTATATATATGTATATATGTGTATATATATGTATATATATATATATATATATATATATATATATATATATATATATATATATTTATTTAATTTATTTATTTTTTTTTTTTACATTTAATAAAAGTGGACTTTTCCTTTAAGGTCCATTAGTAGGGCCCTTTCACACTGATCCATTTATGATTCGTTAAAACAAAAAAAAAGAAAAAAAAAATCAGAATCAAAATGTATCCCTTTAAAATCCTATGGCACTCTTCACATCGGTGCACTGCAGGTACGGTACGTTTTGAAAAATTCCTGTATGTTGCATTTTGGTGTGCTTTTCAAAAACGCATCTCCCATTGATTTTTTTTTTATAAAAGATGCACCAAGAACACCTCAAAAACTGTGCGTTTTCTTGTGTTTTGAGTCACATGTTCAAGTGTACCCGGTGCATGATTGGAGCCAGGAGTTAAGAAAACACCACAAAAATCGCATCAAAAAGCTGAAAAAACGCATATGCGCTTTTTTTTTTCTTCAATAGAGCAGTGTGAAAGAACCCTGATGGTGAAGGTAGTCGCACAACGCCAACATTTGCAAGCTGAGCAACTACTGAGATGAATCTATGCGCAAGAACCCCCCCCCCCCAGGGGTGTGGTGACCGCCCCGTGGCCCGCACAGCACTTGTTGGCGAGCGCCGTGTCTCAGACGGAGAGGCGAGTTGTTTCTCGGGAGTTTGCTCCTGACGAGCGCTGAGAGATATCTCCGAGATCGCTGACGAGTAAATATTTCCTGTCCCCGGTTTGTGCGCGGTTCTCTGTGTGCGGAAAGACTCTTCAACCGTGGCGGGGAATTATCCGTGTCGTGGCGGCTCAGTGATCCAGATCACCGGTACACCGGCAGAACCTTTCTATTAGAAGATCGGATCGTTCCCAACCCTTCCTGATGACGACTCCGGGGGGGTCAGAGTACTGGACGGCGATAGTCCCACTTTCCTTCAAGGGAAATGGCTGTAGTAGCCCCCCCCCCCCTGCTACTAGTCAGCAGTGCTGCCTTCCAGGGTCCTGTGCCTAGTGGCAGTGCTGGAAGAGTCATCTGAAGATTCCAAATGCCCCCCCCACCTTCTCTCCTTGGTTGGGGCTGAAAGGTGGTGCAGGGCGGGGGAGGGGAGTATACACTGGGGCACTGCTGACAAGGGAAGGGTCTCCTGCTGCCTGCCATAGGTGGGTGTGCTTGGTGCTGGATAGGTGGTGCCGGGACTGAAAATGTGCCAGACTCTGTTGATGGCATTCCAAGTGCTACCGTCCACTGAGGAACAAGGGGGCCCGCTGTCACACAAAAGGTGACAGTGATGTGGGGGGTGCGGGGTCCGGGGAGAGCGGGTGCAGTGAATGCGGGTCCGGAGAGAGCGGGGTGAATGCGGGTCCGGAGAGAGCGGATACAGCGAACGCGGGGTCCGGGGAGAGCGGGTGCAGTGATACAGGGTCCGAAGAGAGCGGGGTCCGGGGAGAGCGGGTGTAGTGAACAGCGAACGCGGGGTCCGGGGAGCGGGCGGCGGGGTCCGGAGAGAGCACAGCGAACGCGGGGTCCGGGGAGAGCGGACACAGCGAACGCGGGGTCCGGGGAGAGCGGACACAGCGAACGCGGGGTCCGGGGAGAGCGGACACAGCGAACGCGGGGTCCGGGGAGAGCGGACACAGCGAACGCGGGGTCCGGGGAGAGCGGACACAGCGAACGCGGGGTCCGGGGAGAGCGGACACAGCGAACGCGGGGTCCGGGGAGAGCGGACACAGCGAACGCGGGGTCCGGCCGAGAGCGGACACAGCGAACGCGGGGTCCGGCGAGAGCGGACACAGCGAACGCGGGGTCCGGCGAGAGCGGACACAGCGAACGCGGGGTCCGGCGAGAGCGGACACAGCGAACGCGGGGTCCGGCGACAGCGGACACAGCGAACGCGGGGTCTGGCGACAGCGGATATAGTGAATGTGAGGGTGTTTTTTGCATTGAAGTCTATGGCACGCGGTTTTGCATTGAGTTCACTAGGGGTGTTTTTTGCATTGAAGTCTATGAGACATGGTTTTTAATTCATTGTAGGGGTGTAATTGCATGGAATCAATGGACACAATTTTGCAGTGAAGTCACCAGGGGGCGTTTTTTGCATTGAAGTCAATGGGAGGCAGAATGCCATTATCGACACCTTTTTTTATCTGTTGGCTGATAGCCCTATTTTCAGCCAATCATTTTCAGCGGCCTTTATATCGACGCCGAGTTAAAAACGCTCCTAAAGCCACGGTTTGCAAACGGTGCAAGAGCTGGGATGTTCAGTCTTTCCATTGGCCGGAATATTAATTGAAGAGGAAGCAGAGAGAGAGATTGACCTTGAAGAGGAAGTTGTCACCGTGGTGTATCTAGGCTCTGCTCTGTTTTTCGGTCACCAGCAATGTCATGTTTCTATTGTACGATTTTCAGATAAACGGCCTGATTTCGCCAGGCCTGGCATGGGGCAGTGCCAGCTTATTGCAGCAATGACATTAAGCGGTCATCTGGCTGGCACAGCTATGTACTGTATGTCTGGGAGATGCTACCAATGGGTTTTTTTTTTTGTTGTGGAGAAATAGTAACAGGAGTCGGCTTTTGATGCGTCTCCATCCATTCCATGATGTGTCAGACCAAAGACAACGGTGGGTGGGAGATGCCAACATGGTGTCACATAAAGGGCGTCTCTTTCAGATTTATTATTGCGGTTATCTAGGATTCCATAGACAGGACTTCCAATCATTATTGGGATTTTTGAACTTTTGTACGACTACAAATTACCAATTGGTTGCTGTCAGGAATGGACTCAGCACTGGTGGTGGGACTCACCTGCCGTGTGGGCTGCAGTACCAGGGCTGACCAGCGGGTGCTCTCAGCAGCCAGAAGCTCACTCCTGCAGTCAGCCAACACCTGGGGCTGATTGCAGGAGGTGTATTTAAGGAATGACCAGGCCTGTGATCAGGGCCTTGGTGTATTGTTTCCCATGAGCCCCTGTACTTGGTATCCTGTGTTCCTGTTCTGCTGACTATCTGATTTGTTGCCGACCCTGCCTGATCCTGACCTCTGCTGACTTCTCCTGCTTGATCCCTGGCTTGCCTGACCATCCTTTCTGCCTGGTCCTCTGTACCACGCTGCCCGTGAGTTACTGAACCCGGCTTGTGACCCTGACTATTCTCTGCCTGCTCCTCCGGTACCTCGCTGCCCACACGTTGCTGACCTGGCCTGCCTGACTACGCCTGACACTACCCAGACGATCCATCCATCCTGCACGGATCTGTCCCTGTTACCAGGTCTGCCAGGCTCTTCACGTCAAGCTTTCCCACGGTACATACCCTCGGCGGGACCCCTCTACCACAGTTGGGTGCACTTGGGCCGCAACCTGGTCTCAGTCCTGTGCCAAGTCCATCCCCACCATCAGGGGCTCTGGTGAAAAGGCAGACTGGGGCTTAGACTCCGCGCCCTGGGGAATGCCGTTCTGTGGGTACTAGAGATCCCGCCGGGCGGTGCCTGACGGTTCCTAACGGCCTGCCCGACCATTCCACCTCTCCAGCCCTGACTACGCCTGTGTTCCTGAAGCCTGCTACTTCCCTGTGTCAGTCCACACATTTCTGGTCATACCCCGGATCCCTAACAGTTGCCCAGTGGGACATTTCTGGTGAATTACTTAGCGTTGCAGCCATCTCTTGGTGGCTTTTACATCCTCCACTTCTCTGGGAAGGCTTTCCAGAACATTTTGAAGGTTGTCTGCTGGAACATTTTGAAGCTTGTCTGCTGCAGTATTTTGAAGGTTGTCTGCTGGACCATTTTGAAGGTTGTCTGCTGGACCATTTTGAAGGTTGGCTGCTGGAACATTTTGAAGGTTGTCTGCTGGAACACTTTGAAGGTTGTCTGCTGGAACACTTTGAAGGTTGTCTGCTGGAACACTTTGAAGGTTGTCTGCTGGAACATTTTGAAGGTTGTCTGCTGGAACATTTTGAAGGTTGTCTGCTGGAACATTTTGAAGGTTGTCTGCTGGAACATTTTGAAGGTTGTCTGCTGGAACATTTTGAAGGCTGTCTGCTGGAAATCGTTGCCCATTGAAATCAGGTACTGATGTTGGATGAGAAGACCTTACTATCGATCAACGTTCATTCCAAGGGTGTTTCATTAGGGTTGAGGTCAGGGCTCCGTGCACCAAACTGGTCACACCATGTCTTTATGGAGCTGGGCGTCTTTCAATTTATTTTTGCGGTGGATTCCATTGAAAAGGGTCTTCCAAACTCCAGATTGGAATTTTGAAAACAGGACTTCACCGATCTGGTTGCCCAGTGGAACAGGCATTTCTGGTGAATTCCTTAGCGTTGCAGCCATCTCTTGGTTGCTTTAACATCCTCCACTTCTCTGGGAAGGCTTTCTGAAACATTTTGAAGGTTGGTCTGCTGGAACATTTTGAAGGTTGTCTGCTGCAGTATTTTGAAGGTTGTCTGCTGGACCATTTTGAAGGTTGTCTGCTGGACCATTTTGAAGGTTGGCTGCTGGACCATTTTGAAGGTTGTCTACTGGACATTTGAAGGTTGTCTGCTGGAACATTTTGAAGGTTGTCTGCTGGAACATTTTGAAGGTTGTCTGCTGGAACATTTTGAAGGTTGTCTGCTGGAACATTTTGAAGGTTGTCTGCTGGAACATTTTTGAAGGTTGTCTGCTGGAACTTTTGAAGGTTGTCTGCTGGAATTCGTGCACATTTGAGATCAGGTACTGATGTTGGATGAGAAGACCTTACTATCGATCAACGTTCATCCCAAGGGTGTTCATTAGGGTTGAGGTCAGGGCTCCGTGCACCAAACTGGTCACACCATGTCTTTATGGAGCTGGCATTGTACACAAGGGCTCAGTCATGGTGGAACAGAAAAGGGTCTTCACCCTTTGTTACCAGAAGGTTGAAGAGCTCAGTTGTCCAAAACAAAGGAAGACCACCACAGTCCTCCAGTACCCCAACAGGCCATGTTCTGGGAATTTCCTTTAGATAAAATAGTTGCCATAAATACAGAGCTAATGATAGTGACTGAAAACATGACTTGGTGGTGGTACTTGAGGATTATAATTGGGGGCTCGGGTTCCTCCACACCAAACTGGTCACACCATGTCTTTATGGAATCGTACACGGGCACAGTCATGGTGGAACAGAAAAGGGTCTTCACCAAACTGTTACCACAAGGATGGAGGAGCACAGTTGTCTACAATGTCTTTGTATGACGGAATATTAACACGCCGATGCAGTGTGGGCGTGGCTACGCGTTTCGGGACTGTGCTTGCCCCCTTTTGCCAAGCCTAAAGCTGGCCATATACTAGTAGACTTTCATTCGAAATGTACAAATTTTAAAAATGTTCGTTTAATTTCCTAATTAGTTGGACCAAAAACGATGTACAATTTCAACCACATTCTGACACTGTGTGGGCGTGGCTACATGTTTTGGGGCTGTGCTTGCCCTTTTTTCCAAGCCTAAAGCCAGCCATATACTAGTAGACTTTCATTCAAAATGTAAAAATTTTAAGAATGTTCGTTCGACTTCCTAATTAGTTGGGCCAAATCGACACTCGATTTTGACCACACGCTGACGCTGTGTGGGCGTGGCTACACGTTTCGGGGCTGCGCTTGCCCCTTTTGTCAAGCCTAAAGCTAGCCATATATTCGTACACTTTCATTCAAAATTTTTAAGAATGTTCGTTCGATTTTCTAAATAATAGTCGGGCCAAATCGACACTTGATTTCGACCACACGCGGACACTGTGTGGGCGTGGCTACGCGTTTCAGGGCTGTGCTTGCCCCTTTTGTCAAGCCTAAAGCCAGCCATATACTAGTAGACTTTCATTGGAAATGTAAACATTTTAAGAATGTTCCTAATTATTAGTTGCGCCAAATCGACGCTCGATTTTCGACTATGCTCGAAGGAGCAGGATGGAAAATATTTTTTTTCGAACAGCGAATGCGGTCTTCATTCGGGAAAGTCCATTCCTTCCAAAATCAAATGTTCAAAGCAAACCGTAAAAGTACTTTTCGAGTCATCGAATCTACTGAGAATTTTTGTACGGATGTTCGATTAAAATCCTCCTAATGTACGGCCAGCCCCAAGTCCCAGCGTAAAACGAGGATCTTCCCACAAAACGCTGAATCTGCTCTGCGGAAGATTCTCCCGTTCCCGGGATCCCGCGACTTCTCTGCCCTCTCTGTCAATTCAGACGTCTTTATTTAGACGAGAACTCCCCATCTCCATCCTTATCGCTCTTTTTTTTTTTTTTTTTTAATTTTTTCCTTTTTTTTAAATTTTTTTTATTTGTTTTTTTCGGGGTTTTTTTTTCAATTTTTTTTTTTTTTTTTTTTTTTTAAGAAAAGGAGAAAGAAAATGCAGAGCTTTTCCTGCGGTGTTGGAGCGGGGTCAGTTTTTCAGCACCGGAACGTTTTGACAAGTTGACATTTCATATGAAAGCAAATTTCCAGCTCAGACTCCGTCATTTATAGAGACCATTTCCATACTTTATTTCCTTTTTGGCGCGCGTCTGAGATCTGATACTGGATACTTCCCAGGAAAAATGTTCGCTTTGATATATGGGCTTGTCAAAGTAATGTAGAAAAAAAATTTATATACAGTAATAAGTAACAATTTTTGAGTTAAATTGGGTAGAAACGACATTGAAAATTGCTGAAAATGACAGAAAAATTCAGTCATTCTTATTTTTTCTTTTTTTTGTATTTTTTTTTGTTTCTGTAAAGCAAAGGTCTCCGAACTGTGGCCTGCAGGCCGGATGAGCCACTTTGCTTGATTTTATCTGGCCCCTTGGCTTACTATTCCTTCCACTGGTAGGAGGCTTGTATCTTCGCACTGACACCATCAATGGGGCACTATTCCTTCCACTGACACCAATGATGGGGCACTATTCCCCCCAC